TTTATTAAAATATATTTATACATTTAAATATTTAATATAAACATTAATAAAGATATATTTTCTCTGTGCATTGTAAACGTAAATTAATAGATTCAGATACTTTCTATACAGATGAATACATCTGTATGGTTAATGATTACATATTTTATATTTAAATTTTAATTAATGAATAAAATATGTTTAGGCATGCTTAATATACATAAATGCTTATTACTAGAATATGAAATATTTAATTACGCTTAACATTTAATAGTTTTATTACATATTAATTCACTAGAAACTTTCCACATAGATTACATCATTTAAATACTTTCTATACGGATTATTTCATTTAAATACTTTCTAAGTAGGTTAATGCATTTAAATATTTTCTCGATTGAATACATTTAAGTATTTTCTATACAGATTAATTCGCCTAAGTACTAACTGCAATGTAAACTGAGTAAAACATATTATCTAATCGCTTTTTATACAGAAAACAGTGATTAAAAACAACGATTTTTAAAGTTTTTACATTCGATTTTAATCAGTTTTCAATTAATTTAAGCTATAAAATTTTAAATAAAAAATATAATTTATTTATAAAATATTCAAATAGTTGAATTAATCTGTTTAAGATCTTATCAGCAAAATTTAGGTTATTAACCCGTACCTCTAGCAAAAACAAGCAAAAAAAACTTTTTAAAATTCAGGTATGAAGATAGACTTTATAAAAAGAAGACTTTCTGGTATTCGATGCCTAAATGTTATGTCCTACTTTTTTTAAATAAAGAGTTTAAAAAGTTTTTAATTAAAATTTTAAAATATTTTTCTAGAAAAATACATCATTGAATGCCAGTATTTTAAGCTGCCAAGATATCATTCTATCTTGGAACAACATAACAGCTATTGTTGAGGTTCCGAAGAGAAAATGGTTTTTTAATAAGTCTTCAAAGAAACAAGAACATCGATACATACTTCGTGACGGTAAATATATTGATTTTTATGCAAAAGCTTTCATTATATCCTTAATGGATACTAAACTTACAACCCTATCTCTTTATCAATGATTAGTGAGTGGTAACATTGGACCTGGACAACTCTTAGCCATAATGGGATCTAGTGGTGCTGGTAAAACAACTTTAATGAACGTTTTAACGTCTAGAAATCTCCAAAATGTTTCAGTTTATGGTAAAGTTAGTGTAAATGGTTATCCTATGGATAATTCTATTATCGGAATGTCTGGTTATGTCCAGCAAGACGATCTTTTCATTGGAACTCTAACTGTTAGAGAACACTTAATTTTTCAGGTGAATGTCTTATTATTATTATCTTTTTTTTCTAAAATGTACATACATATATATAAATTTTTGATGAGGTGAAAAGTAGAATAGAATATTTAGAAATTTGTAAGAATTTTTATTATTTATTTAAAGGCATTATTAAGGATGGATCAAAATTTATCGAAGAAAGTTCGTTTGCAAAGAGTAGACGACGTTATTGCTTATGTGAGTGTTTATTTTTTACGTACAATTCTAGTTAGAGTAATCTGATTTCTTCGAATATTTTCTGCATATTTAATGAATCAAATATATTCTAATACAATCTCTACATTTTCATTTGAAATTTAAATATTTTTCTATTCATTTTTCGGCTTTTTATTTTAAAGTTATATTTAGGTTTTTCGTGATTTAATCGAATTTTATACGAAAAATTTCTATGATTTTTTTTTGTATTCTCTTCAGACTTTTCTTTTCTTATTCCTTACATCAAGAAAATTTTTACGATTTATTCGATATAAATATAATCATCCATGGTTTAAAATTTTACAAATAAAAAAATAATTGTATGACAATATATGCATATATGATATTTAATATTATTATTTTCCTGTTGAATAAAAACTTTTGAATAAATCTAAAATAAAGAAAAATGCAAAATTTATGGAGTGGAACAACTGATAAAAGTCTGATAACGATCAGATAAGAAGCGATGAGATAATATTTTGGGAACAAAAAACGAGATAAATTGATGAGCTGATACTGATATTTGTCAAAAACCTGGAAAATTTTTATTAATATTATAATTATTAATTAAAATAACATTTAAAAAAATCATCTTTTATAGCTAGGTTTGTCAAAATGCGCTAATACAAAGATAGGAATTCCTGGCAGAATTAAAGGTATATCAGGAGGAGAAATGAAGAGATTATCCTTTGCTTCTGAGGTAAAATTATATCGATTTTTATTATAAATAGTCAGAAAAATATTTTTTATATGGTTCTTACTTTGGATATTCACTTCTTGCTGCAGATATTAACCAATCCATCATTGCTATTCTGCGACGAACCAACTTCTGGTTTAGATACCTTCATGGCATTGAGTATTATCAGTATCCTAAGAGAAATGGCTGCTGAAGGATGCACTATCGTATGTAGCATACATCAACCATCATCGGAAGTATATGCACTTTTCGATCAAGTATTATTCCTAGCTAACGGACAGGTCGCATTTATGGGTAGTGCTTCTAGGGCTTTAGATTTCTTTTCAGAGTAAGTTCATTTAATTCTTCATAATCTGTAATATTCCCTTGCATTGTAAATAAAGAAAAATGTTAAATAGATAGTAAATAGAAGAAAATTTGAAATTTAGAATGTTTAATATACATTTTCTCTTTGTAAATGAGGTCGTATGTTGTGCAAACATTGAAAATGAGCTCTTCAACTTTCAATGTGTTGATTATTCAAAATATGTTTGTTTTGAACTTTCAGAGTCACTATTGGATTATTTTGTTTGATATTCTGTATAGAAAAGTGTTGAATGACACAAAAGATTTTTAAATTTTCAAAAAAAGCTACTAGATGTATTTTTTTAATATATATAATTTAAGGTTGAAACATCGCTACTTATAAAAACAACTTAACTAGCTTAATTTAAATTCTTGTAAAAATGAAACGTTTCCTTTAAAAATTTCAACTAATTTAAGATCTAATGAAGTATAAAAGTTTTACAGTAATTATTAATTTAAAATTAATCTTATTTTTTAAACTAAAAAGATTTATCTAATATACATCGTACGAAAAAGAAATATGCACTCCAGAACAAATATTTTACTATAAAATTTCATTAATTTTACAAAAGGAAATTGCAACTATCAAGATTCTTCCTCTAATCATTACAGAAGAAAAAAAAATCACAATATCAATTACTATTTGCTATAGAAGACAAAAATCTTATAAATTATACAAAGGAGAATTCATTTAATCAATTAAATTTTAGAATAAAGTTTTGTATTATTTGTCCAAAATTAATTTTTGACAGTAAATTCNTAATTTATTATTATACTTTTCCGTCTGTATGTTTGCTCTTTATATTTTGTTCGATATTTAGAATATTCATGGCATCAGTTTAAGTTCAGATATTCTTTTATAATTATATTAAATAGGGGTTAAAAATTAATTTTGTACACTCTCCGGTAGTGTAATAATAATTAATTAACTTGTTTATACGCTATTTGACAGGATAATTTGTGTAAAAAGTTAAAAGAATGAGATCAAATTTTGTTTATTAGACAATAAATAACTTTAAAAAGTTTAAATATAGAACCTAAAATGTTTTTAAAGCTTAAAATCTGCATAATTTTCCTATTTTTTCGGGCAAGAAAAAATGTATTAAGAAAGTTTTAAATGTTTTTTTTTCATTTCCGAGCTTAATTAACATCATTTAAAATAATAAAAAAATTAAAATTATTATTTAAAATAAATTATTTTTATTAACTTCATATTTTATTTTTTATCAAGGATCATCTTACTTGGGATATCATGTTACTGTGTGTATTAATAGTGGGCTTTCGTCTACTAGCTTATATTGGTTTGTATATAAAAACAATTCATAGGAAATAAATTTGTAATAATATGTTATAAAATAATCTATATGTAAATTTATGTAGCATCAAATTCATTAAAAAACCAACAGTGTCTTATAAAATAACTTGTATAATTGAAATACAAGCTATGGATGTTTATATTGGTGCATATAATGTACTGTATAGTACATTACTAGCTACATATACTTTTTTACATTTTCTAATGTAAGTACAGGGTGGCTCAAAAGTCAGTTAACCATTGTAATGACTACGTTTGATAAACAAATTTCTCCACTTTACTTAAATTCAATCTATAATTCGTACAAGTGTACCTGACAAGACAGTGTTAACTGATCTTTGGGCCATACTGTATATTCGAAATATTTGTTAACATTGATGTGCATACTTTACTAATGCGTAGCCTAAATCTGTATATACGAGTGCTCTGTCAATTATACATGTTTATAAATATTTGTTTTTAACATTTTTATCATTTTTAAATATTGTATATATTTTTGAGAGACATTATTGTTTGTAATATATAGGATTTTTCTAGTAAACATATTTTTAAAATTATTTTGTCATTCATTTTTCAAATATTTTTATGTACATTTTTCTGGAGATTTTTGTCTAGTTACATAATACACTTTGTATTATATGCACGTGATACTTATGCCCTGTTAATGCATACATTTTATGTCATTACTACATAAATGAATACAATTTTACTGATATATACAAGTCTGTGCAGAAGGAAAGCGGGCTTTTAGGCCCGAGCGGCCTGAAAAATATTTGTTAAAAACATTCGTTTTCGTGTATTAAAAGATTTTTAAAATTTATTTAAAGAATATAATTTTTAACATAACTACGCCTCAGAAAAATAAATCTGAGTAGTTCTGAATATATGATGATAGAGGTATTCGTAATTTAATGTATAAGCAGTAAATTACCAATATCGATGCAATTATTGGGCTATAATTTGAAAAAGCTGTTAGACAGACGGACGACAATCTGACTGTCTGTCCTTCCCTAATCTCGAGAATGATGTTAGATAGATGAAAGTCGAGAGCAGAAAGCTTAGGGGCATGAGTCTCCAATTAATTATATAGAAACTATATATGCCACGTGATTTCAATTCAAAAATTTTCCCCAAAACGGAGTTATATAGATGACGAGTTCGGCTCTGTTGTTATCAAAAATAGTATGATGTAAAGGGGCAAGACAGTAATAAAATTAAGGCCTGTATTTTATATTAAATAAATAAAAAATACGATTAAAAATTGCAGCCCGGCATTGTGACCACGTCACAATAAATAATTGCTCGTTCCATAAATATATTTCTATCAAAAAGAATATGTTACCAATTATTATTTTATTAAAGTACACGCTTAACTTCGATATTTTTCTACGTTAACACACAAATATTTAAATTCTTAAAGCCAGGATGCAAATAAACTGGTCGAATGTTTATCGCTGTACATGATAATAATTTCCATTTTCTTTAAAGCTTTTCATTTGTAAAGGATTTAATGAAAATTAGAGACAGTTTGGCGAAGGTGTTGTTAGAAGAATTATACTTCGAGTAGATTCTCTCATTGATCTATTTTTCTATTAAAGACTTCTTTTCTTTGGTGGACTTACAGTCTCTCCGCAAACAATAACGGATCAATTAATTTACTTTTGTTGTTTTCTTATTGTTCTCCAAGTTATGGATCAAGTGCTTCTATCTTATTTTCTCTAGTTGCATTTCCACATTAATAATTTCATAGCAATTTCCAAATGGAATTTTCGATTTAAAACAATCGCCCGCTTGACAATTTCTTATATATTTGAAACCCTCCTACACGAGTATATTCGCTCGCCTTTCTACCATTCTCTTGCCCTTCTATACTTGTATATAGTACATGTATGTTCATATATATGGATTTTGTATAGTGTTTTCTATATAAATATTAAATTTGTATTGAGAGGTTTTGATAAATAAATTTTATGATTAAATTTAAAATTCCACAAGTTAAGCACATTTTTAATAAAATAAACCTTCTGAATATTTTAAATATAAATTTTATACTGAATTAATGAATTTTATGATCTGAAAAATTAATTTTTTTAAAAATTTTCACTTTAATATAATCATTTCAATTTGTAATCATAAATGATATTTGCTTTAATAATTTTTATAAATAAAATTTGAATAGAGTTAATATTAAAAGAAAATAGAAATAATATTTTTTTTCGAACTTTCTAAATTGGAAAATAAATAAATAAAATAATACAATTTTAATTTGTAAAAAAAAAGAAAATAAAAATAAAATTGCAATTTTATTTATTTATTTGTTTTAAATGAGAGAAATTTGTTTTTTTTAAGAATTATAAAATTAATAGAGCTTATTTTAACATTAAAATATTTGAAAACATGTTAAAAAATCAATAAAAATCTGTTTTGAATTATAAAATTTGTATAGTTTTTCTATCAACATGATACTTTTCATTATATTCAGATATATATGTGCTATATCAATACATACAATAATACATCAGTAATATTTTATATATAGGCAAATAAAATATAAAAAATTAAAATATAAATCGAAAATAATGTATTATACATTGTTTTTATGTATATAATTGATAAGCTAAACAAGCAATAGCCTAGGGCCTTATTCTACAAGAGGCCTCGCTTCATCTCGCTTCCCACATAGCTATATTCATACTATACTATATGTGACGTAACTTTTAAATTTATAATTACGTTTATTTTTAAACGAAACTTGAATTTGTATAACACACGTCTATCGAAGCCTAGGACCCATTTAATATATATCAATTATTTTTTTAATGAAAGAAAAAAGACCTCTTAATGTTAAAACTGAACCCACAAGACTGAATCTGGCCCTACTAATGATGGTAATTTAGTTTTTACATTTTTTAATCGTTAATAATTATCATCTTATATAATTTAATTGCAATTAATGCCATACATGTAGAAATATTTGCTTTATTTTAACAGTTATGAAACTTAATATTACGTAAAACTGTAATTATAAGCCGTTATATAAATTAGTCATTATCTTTAAATCATATTTAGAAAGAAGTACTTCATTAAATTATTTACATTTTATGGATATAAATAATGATTATTTAAAATTTTAATTTATTTTAGTAGAGTGTTTTTTTATGTTATAATTAAGTTTATTTATTTTTATATGTAAAAAGAAGAAGAAAAACTTGAAGTGGTTGTAATTCATCACCTGTTGATGTCAATTTTTATTCATTGTTTTCTTTATCCATGGCAACTTTTTCATAATTATCATTAAGATGCTAAGGCAAATCTTGTTACTAATGAAGTTATGTGACAGTGACATGTTTATCAATCACTCGATCAGACATTTGCCCGGAACTTGCACAGTTTATCTTAACTTCTTACATAAATATTTGTTTTAAGATATTTATATACATTAATATNATACCGAGTTCGGCTCTGTTGTTATCAAAAATAGTATGATGTAAAGGGGCAAGACAGTAATAAAATTAAGGCCTGTATTTTATATTAAATAAATAAAAAATACGATTAAAAATTGCAGCCCGGCATTGTGACCACGTCACAATAAATAATTGCTCGTTCCATAAATATATTTCTATCAAAAAGAATATGTTACCAATTATTATTTTATTAAAGTACACGCTTAACTTCGATATTTTTCTACGTTAACACACAAATATTTAAATTCTTAAAGCCAGGATGCAAATAAACTGGTCGAATGTTTATCGCTGTACATGATAATAATTTCCATTTTCTTTAAAGCTTTTCATTTGTAAAGGATTTAATGAAAATTAGAGACAGTTTGGCGAAGGTGTTGTTAGAAGAATTATACTTCGAGTAGATTCTCTCATTGATCTATTTTTCTATTAAAGACTTCTTTTCTTTGGTGGACTTACAGTCTCTCCGCAAACAATAACGGATCAATTAATTTACTTTTGTTGTTTTCTTATTGTTCTCCAAGTTATGGATCAAGTGCTTCTATCTTATTTTCTCTAGTTGCATTTCCACATTAATAATTTCATAGCAATTTCCAAATGGAATTTTCGATTTAAAACAATCGCCCGCTTGACAATTTCTTATATATTTGAAACCCTCCTACACGAGTATATTCGCTCGCCTTTCTACCATTCTCTTGCCCTTCTATACTTGTATATAGTACATGTATGTTCATATATATGGATTTTGTATAGTGTTTTCTATATAAATATTAAATTTGTATTGAGAGGTTTTGATAAATAAATTTTATGATTAAATTTAAAATTCCACAAGTTAAGCACATTTTTAATAAAATAAACCTTCTGAATATTTTAAATATAAATTTTATACTGAATTAATGAATTTTATGATCTGAAAAATTAATTTTTTTAAAAATTTTCACTTTAATATAATCATTTCAATTTGTAATCATAAATGATATTTGCTTTAATAATTTTTATAAATAAAATTTGAATAGAGTTAATATTAAAAGAAAATAGAAATAATATTTTTTTTCGAACTTTCTAAATTGGAAAATAAATAAATAAAATAATACAATTTTAATTTGTAAAAAAAAAGAAAATAAAAATAAAATTGCAATTTTATTTATTTATTTGTTTTAAATGAGAGAAATTTGTTTTTTTTAAGAATTATAAAATTAATAGAGCTTATTTTAACATTAAAATATTTGAAAACATGTTAAAAAATCAATAAAAATCTGTTTTGAATTATAAAATTTGTATAGTTTTTCTATCAACATGATACTTTTCATTATATTCAGATATATATGTGCTATATCAATACATACAATAATACATCAGTAATATTTTATATATAGGCAAATAAAATATAAAAAATTAAAATATAAATCGAAAATAATGTATTATACATTGTTTTTATGTATATAATTGATAAGCTAAACAAGCAATAGCCTAGGGCCTTATTCTACAAGAGGCCTCGCTTCATCTCGCTTCCCACATAGCTATATTCATACTATACTATATGTGACGTAACTTTTAAATTTATAATTACGTTTATTTTTAAACGAAACTTGAATTTGTATAACACACGTCTATCGAAGCCTAGGACCCATTTAATATATATCAATTATTTTTTTAATGAAAGAAAAAAGACCTCTTAATGTTAAAACTGAACCCACAAGACTGAATCTGGCCCTACTAATGATGGTAATTTAGTTTTTACATTTTTTAATCGTTAATAATTATCATCTTATATAATTTAATTGCAATTAATGCCATACATGTAGAAATATTTGCTTTATTTTAACAGTTATGAAACTTAATATTACGTAAAACTGTAATTATAAGCCGTTATATAAATTAGTCATTATCTTTAAATCATATTTAGAAAGAAGTACTTCATTAAATTATTTACATTTTATGGATATAAATAATGATTATTTAAAATTTTAATTTATTTTAGTAGAGTGTTTTTTTATGTTATAATTAAGTTTATTTATTTTTATATGTAAAAAGAAGAAGAAAAACTTGAAGTGGTTGTAATTCATCACCTGTTG